GCTTTGCTTACTCTCCGATTAAGAGCACAAACTATGTAGTGTATAGCTTTTCTTTGTTATGAAATTAACGTGGAGCTGGGCTCTTTCTTGTGTCCCATTATGCTTCTGTATGAAATTCTGTCTCATGGAAATAGGATACCTCTGTCTTGATTCCTTTTTTTCTCTTTGAATCAACTTCATCAAAGCATACTGCACGTACAATAAGCTGTGGCTGTGTAAGATCCATGGGAGCATCACCACAATCAGGGTGCAGGGCATCTGACCACCTCCGAAAGATCCCTTGTGCCTCTTTGCAGTCACTTCCCATTCCACTCCAGGCCCAGGCAGCTACAGATCTGCTCTCTGTCACTGCAGTAATCTACGTAGTTTGCATGACTCTTGTTTCTTCAGTCCACATTCATGGGGTAACGTTCCTTTATGGGGAGACAAACTATATGGTTGGGAAAAGGTGGAGCTGAGGCATGTATTCAAGTAAATTTCTTCATATCTGATAGCACTAAATTTTTGTGGAAGCAAGTTTTATCTAAAGTCATAGGCTAATAGTTACCTTTAGAACATGGTTAACCAAGAACTACAAAATTGGAACAAAATTTACATCTAGGTCATTTAATCCAGAAACATCTTATGGGGAAGTTCAGGGTTTGCAGCAGCTTTGATGAAGTAACTTTTCAGTTCTCACATGAATTTGGCCCTATGCTTTCCATATCCCTAAAATAAATGGGGCTCTGATATTTAATTTTTACACGTTCACCATTCAGAAGTGACTTGGTGGTCTTTCTTTGACCATGTAAATTTATGGGACAGAAATCTTTATTTTTAGAAGTGCAGTGCCTTGTTTTATTCAAATTTTGAAAATGGTCAAGAGATAGGGCCCGGGGACAAGTTTTAGCATGATAGTTCTGACCACTGGACATTTGACTTTAGATGGCCAGGAGTCAAGTGGTATTGGTGAGATGTTTGCAAGAGGATTGGCATGAAATAGCCTAAAGAGTGTGTGATGCTTGTGCCACAGTCCAGAAATAAACATTACATTTCTTTCCTCAATATATTTCTGTAGTGGATAGCCAAGTGACAACTATTGTCTTTTTTTGGTTTTCTAGTTAAATAGCAATTGTTCTGGATGAAGGAATGGCACTGTTTAAAACTCTTCCACTCTGAAGAGTCTCCTGGGTGCGAAGGAAAATAGATTTCCAGTCTTAAGAATCAAATAGCCCTATTCAGTGTCATTCTCGTGACTTTCCCCCGACACGTTAAAATTTTGCTTAACCTGTTTCAAAGTAGAGAAGCTTCTATATCAGGACTGTCCTAGACACAGGTGCCTTTCTAGCTTACAGATCTTTTTCTTCATAATGTTTGGTGGAAGAAGTGACTTTTAACCTTTTCATGCTTAGATTTCCTTTATTCTTTTTAAGGAGGTTTAATTAAGCCATCTCTTTTTAATTTAACCTATCGTTTAGAAATTTCTGGGAACATAATTTACTTAAAGCAGTAAGTCAGATTTTTTTCCTCTCTCCTCCCTTTTTTTCTTCCATAGGCAAGAGCTGTAGTATATGCAGATTATTGAGAGAGAAAACATAATATCTGAAAAGGTGGCTTTCTTAAAAGGCACCAGGAGCATTAGTGTCATGTCTGCAGCACCCATTTGTGTCAACTGTACAGACCTTTCAATGGAAAATTGTGCTGTGCTACCTTTTAAAGTATGAAATGCTAATTTGGGATTTACAGTTTTTGAACTGGAGGGCTACATTTTGCATGGGATTTTGTTTAATTTCCCAGTGAAAAAAGGCATTTGAAACACAACTGCCTACAGCCAACTGTCAACAAAAATCAACTGTAATAGCACAGAGCCTGTCACTGATGTATGTGGTGATGTGGTAATCTTCTCAATTTAGCTGGGTATTTCTTCTTCGTACAAAATAGCTGAAAGTCTTGCTAGGCATTTATGAATATCGGGAGGTATTATTAGGCTGATAATGGGGCCAGATTAAGGAAGTGTACACTGGTTCAAAGTGTCAGTTAAAGAGACACAAAATGGGACGATACATGGCCCCTGGTATAAGGGACTCTTCATATTTCAGGTTTGCTAAAGATTTGGGCATGCTGAGTTCCATCTGCTGTGAAAATGGCTTTCTGGGGAAAAAAAATAAAGTTGTTATGCTATTTTTTCCCCCAGAAATCTGTTTTTGTTTATCAAGAGGGTGAAATAAAAAAATCTCTGAAAATGGAAATGAGGAGGGTAGACGAGGGGGATCTCCCGGGGTGAGACTGGCCAGTCTTCTTCTCCCCCCGACACTGAGAGCTGGAAGCTGAGGGCTGGCATCTTTTCCTTCTAAGTCACGGCTACCTAAGAGCTGGGAGAAGAGAATTCTTTTGGAGTGTCTGTATTTTAGTAATGGGACCCCTTTTGGATTCCAAATAACAACTGGCAAATGCGAGGCAAAAAATAAAGCTGCATATAACCTGTTCTTTGGCAAGGCACAATGTTGGCACTTACTATTAGCTGTCATCAAAACACGGCATTAGCAAAGCTTCTCATATCAAAAGGGGATTTAGAATCAAATGGCACTTTATGTTATCAGTTAATGTTTTTTTTTTTCTTGGTATTTATAGTGAACCATACTCAAATCTGGCCCCACCATTTACTAGCTCCGTGGTAGCTCTGTTCTCTGTGATTAAGTTTCTTCATCTCAAAATTGGATTAATAATTATGCCTACCTCATAAGGATTTTGTTAGAATTAAATTACTTAATAGGTATAAAGAGCTTAGAACACTGTTTGACGTATAATAAGCATCATATGGTTACTATTATTACTATTATCATCAATACAACCAACATATTCACTCATGTCAAAAGGATGGGAAGAGAAATATACTAGCACATATGCTATATAACCTGTTGTGAAAGGTGTTTTTATTTTTTCCTAATCATTATGTTTTTATATGTACATGGAAGACAAGAGTGAACCACATTATCTGAGCTACATGGAATACGTTCTAAGATACTTATAAACCACACCATGGCTAATAGGAACTTGCCAGTACCCGCCCTGTTTTTTGCACTGCCTGCCCACTGCCCTTTCTCTGGGCCTCCGCCCTTCTGCTGCCCCTGCTTTCCATAAGAACCTGATCTTTTCCTTCCCTTCGTGCTTTGGCCAATAAACGGGGACCAAGGATGGACCTCTGATGGAGGAGTGTGGCTCCAGATAGTCATGTCAGTGACATGTCTTGGCACATCCCTAAGAAAAGCTAGGTTGAGCCAATCTGATTCCTTTCTCCACAATTCTATGATTGAGGTACTCTTGTTGATTATCAGAAGGTAACCAAATTTAAAGACCAGGAGATGGAGACGATGATAGGGTTAGAGGTGGCCTTGCCAGTTATGTACAAATTAAAGCTATGACAGAACAATGGAGGAAAGAGAAAGCAGCAATACCATGAGAGAATCTCTGAGGCTGCCTATTTTTCTGTATTTCCTGAGCTCTCACGGCTGGCTCTGCAGTTTTCCCAGATCCTGTGAGACCTCTTTACGTCCCTCCAGGAAACTTCTCTTCCTCTCAACTTCCCACTAGTGTGAGGCCATTTCTGTTCCTTGCAGCCAATTAGGGTACAGAAGGTCTAGGCTCCATGTGTGAGTAGAAAGTAAAGTTTTCTGCTGATCAGTAAAAAACATTGCATGTAGTAGAATTAACATAAAACTGAAAAAGTGGCCAGTGAGGTAAATTTCAATTATCCATATTCAAAATCTTGGGAATGAAGGAGTGGTAGAAGTAAAAGAATTATTTCTAGGTTCTAGTTGACAAGGTCTCAGCACACATGGTGATTACTTTCTAATGGAGTAGACAGATGATCAACAAGTAAATATAAACAAGGTAACACGGTAATTATAGATTGAGAGGACTTCTATGAAGGAAATAAATAAGGAATTAAATTAGGAGATCCATTGGAGGTTTGGTGAAGTGTGTTCCTTAGCATGAAATGATTTTGCTGTCAGTGGTAACTGCCGGTGATATCTGAGTAAAGATTTCCCACATGACCTGATCCATTTCCTTCCTCTGCCTTGGCCAATAATGATGGACCAAGGATGGATCTCTGATGGAAAAGTGTGGCCCAAGACATGCATAGATGTAGGTATAGATATATACTAGATCAACATATACTCCAGATAGACATAAACTGATTAGTCCTAACAAGACATAAAGCTTTTCTACCTTTTATCTTCAAAGATCATACCAAAAAACATCAATATATCATTGAAGTTTTTCTTTTTCTCTATTTGGAATTGATGTGGGTGATGGATAACAGAACAACAATATAATGAGCGTACTTTCTACTAGGTAATGTGCGAGATCCTTTCCACAATTCTCTGATTTAATGGACAAAGCCACCCACCCTCACCTTGTAATCACTGGCATTTACATATGCAGTGACTGCCTGGGATTCAGGCTTCTGTCTGGATCTGGGAGAAAGTGTTTCTCTCTGGACCAAAGGGTGCTTTTAATCTGCTGCCCCTTTCTTATAGCATCAAGTTCTAGCCTGAATACAGACTTTTAATGAGCAATCCATATGTAAATGATTAGTACAAAAGAGGAATTAGCTATCATTACCCAATTGCTTTTTTTCTTTTTAGAAATGATTTGCTATTCAGTTTTAAGCTTTCCAACTATTTTGATGGAGATCCAACTTGGAGAAAAGAAGTGATTTTTTGTTCTCATGATCATTTCCTGTTAAAACTGCATAGTTAATTTTTAGAGATAGATATCCCCTTGAGGACTCATGATAGGAATGAGAGCGATTACTGTTCTATGCCTTTAAGATCATTGAATACCCAGAATAAACCGCCTACAGGGTACCACACCCGCAATTGTGAAAGCAAAGAGGGATCTAGAACACTGGAGAGGAAATATACCACACACAAGTTTGCAATTATGAAGTAACAGAATTTATTGAACATGGAAAATTCTGTCACTAAATAGATGAGTGGTTCTCTTAAGTCCTTCCCAGGATGCCAGAGAAGTGGTCTCAGTGGAACTTTTTCTTCTTCAGATTTTTATTCACAAAAACAAAAGACATATAAAAGCACATTAATAAGGAAGCCTTTTGATGGAGAAGTGAGGCCAGGAGCATCGTGGGCTACTTCTCCAGAAGGTGTGTTGACTGATTAGGGTGTTTCTCCAGGGCTGCTGACCTTAACATCCAAATGGGTCCTTTGATGATGATCTTTTTAGTTCTTCTTTACTGTGCACTTTTCTTTCAAAGACACTTAAGTATGACGATAAAGAAATACAATCACCAACACCCCCATCGTGCATCACAAATGACATGTCATGAAGTAATTATTTTAGGCAAAGTGGTGATAGTCCTTCCTCACAGTCCCATTTTATCCTAATAAGAAGATCTACACATACGTCTCTTCAAAGAATTAGGCTCGGACAAAGTATTGCGTTTTTCTTCTAATGCGCTCAGTATTCTCTGACATTCATCATGGTTTTTTCAACAAATACTGATCCAAATACTTTGTGCCAGAAACCCCTAGAGATGCAGCAGTAAACAACAGACAAGGCCTTTGCTCACATGAGATTACATTTCAGTAAGGGTGACAGATCATCAGGTTAATTCAAATAAACAAGGTAATTATTGATTGGGATAACTACCAGAAAGAGTAGAATTAGAGTTTCTTGCAAGTTTATCAGTTGGTCCTAAGGGCCATGCCCTCCTCACACCAAACCTCCAACACTTCTCCTTAGTCTTTAAGTGCACAACTGACTTTCACTTTTCAGTTTTACATACACAGCTGTGTAATTGCAACTTCAAGCCCTTCTGTCCTTTCCAAACAAATTCTTATTCCTCAGTTTCTCCTATGTAGACAATTCAGAACTGCCAATGAACCCAGTATTAAGCAATTTCTTTGGCAGAAAAGATGCAGACACAAATTCTACTTTATCAAAGTCTGGAACCCAAAAAGGACAAATAGCTGTGTGGTAGTTATTTGCATATACGTCCGTCTTCCCTGCTAGACTGTGAACTCCTTGAAGGTAAACACTAATCTGGGATTTTTTGTCACCTGTGACACTAAGCATCATGCCATGCATGTAGTAGGAGCTCAGTGTATTGCTCATTGAATTCAACTGAATTGACAAAAACTATAGGCTCTGGCCAAAGGTATCAGTGAATGCATGTTTGAAGAAAATTAACTAACAATTAAGATAAAAACGTCAGTATTCACATGAATTTTGGCTGAGCAGATACATTTTCTCACTGGTGAGCATAAGGCTTTTCAGACCAATGAATCTGGTATCCTACAATCCCTTGCCAACAAGGCATGGCAGGGATGGAGGAAAAGGAGTGTGGGCTGAATGTAGACTTTGGCAAATGGTTGGCACTTGAATCATTCCTGCCCGAGTCCTAGGCTCTTGGTCTGTGTGGCAGGAGGTATGAGAGAGAAACTGAGAGGTCCTAGGATAAGACCGCTCTATGGAGGCACTGAGGCTGTTTCTGTTCTGCCTTGAAGTCTGTGAGAAGGTTACACTGCCCACCCCTACTGAATGATTTCAGGCTTCTTTTCTGAGCACTCCCTTCAAGGACCTGGCTCAAATGATACCTTCATCAGTACCTTACAAAGTGCAAGCCCTATATGTAGAGCTGGGGATACAAAAGATGGACAATCAAGATCCTTGCCCTCAGGTGCCCACTGTTTTCATTTAAGAGGCAGAACTTAACCTATAACCAGTTAAGGAAAGCCAACTGTGATATTCTCTCTGCCCTGAGAGTTGACTTTTTTTGTGTGCACACACACAAACGTGCATACACAGACACACAAACACACACATTAGTACTTTCCCACATGGGATAAATCAGAGTAACGCTTTAGGCCCCACATTTTGGTAGCGGGACTTGAGGATGGTTCCAGGCTAAGGCAGGGTGTGGCTTACAGAGCAAGAACCGGAAGAGGCAACTGATATGGATGAGGGATGTGGTTTTACTAGCTGGCCTGGGTTTTATGGACTTAAACCCTTCCACGAGGTAAATTCCTGCGAAATGAACAGCAGAAATACACAACTGGTTCCACCATTCATTCAAGAAATGAATGTTGAGTATTTACTCTGTGATAAGGACTAGGGATGCCACAGAGAGAGAAAAAAGAAAGACGTAATTTACAGGGGAAACAGACGTTAATAAGATAGTTCCACAAATGTAAAATTGCAACTGTGATGAGGGCTAAGCTACTTGGTGCTGTGAGATAGTATAATGGGATGGGAATACTTAACTTGTCAGGAGAGGCTTTCTTTAACTTACCTGGTTTTGCTCATAGAATGATTTTTGGGGTCCAGGATGGGGAGAGTGGGTTTGCCTTCCGCTTCATGTCTCCCAAGGTCGATCTTTGCCTTAGAATATGAATGGATGCACATGATTTAAGTAGACTGGCTCTGTCTTTTTCTCTTTTCTCTACTTTTCATTTCATTTATTTATTTATTTGCACATCATTAGTACTATTTTTAATGTAACCATGTTTACTCATCATCTTCAGGAGACTGTGGGAATTGCATCGAAAATGCAATTTCTTCAATCACTCTCTGCACGTGAGAGGATGTTTCCAATGAGCTGGAAAATCAGAGTTGAGTGATGTATCACAAAACTCAGCTTTTATGTTGAATGGTTCTATTTTGAATTGTGTTATATTAAAATAGAATGCACTGGAGGCAGCATGGTGTGTGGAAAGAGCAAGAACTTTGAGTCCAAGAGGCTCTACACTCATCCATTGGGAGCTTGGGTAAATTATGTGTCTCTTCTGAGCCTCAATGACTCCATCTGCATGATGGGCATTATAATGGCTACCCTGGAGTTTTGTGTGAGGTTTAAGACAGACAGAATATTTGAAGGCTCTAGGACAGTGCCTTGCATTAGTAGGGGCTCAATAAATATTTGTTTCCTTCCCTACATTCAGATTCTTGGGCCCCTTTATTATAGGTCTATATAGAGATACCCTGCTGATTGCAAAGAGGGCTTCCTTTACCCTAGAAAGGGAGATGGAGAGGAAAATTCCAAAGGGATTCCCATGTTGACCTAATGAAAGTGAGGTGCCCACACTCCAGCTTATAACAAGATTCCGTAGAAGAGGGGATGGAAGATGAATGTACATTAAAATGACTCAAAACACGAGCAGACTCTGCAAGTGTTATGCACAGATGAGTTAATTGTTGTGCCTTAAATATATTTCCTGAAGAACAGAAGCCCGATCACAGCACACATCGTTATGTATTTTAGACAAACAGCACTTTGAATCAAATTATAGTACATGCATAAAATATTAAAATAAGACATTTATAACAAATCTTTCTAACTTAGTGCTCGGCTCTAAAATAGATTTATATGCGGATAAGCAATAGGTGCGATAAATGTGGTACAGATACCACAATTTAAATTGCAAATCAACAGGGCATCATGGGAAAAAGGAATGCAGACTTGAAGTACTAAGGGAAAAGATCCAGCTATGCAATATTTTTAGGTCTTCTGCCTGATTTCGTCTTGCAATGTCTGTATCTGGACTCCACATTTGATAAATTCCAATATCTGCTCTCTAATATAGTTCCTTTACTCCCAATTTAAATGATCTAATTAAAACCTGCATTTATTATTCCTTTTGTTTATTATTGAACTGCAGTTCCCCCAAGTCTTCAATTTATTTTAGTTGAGAGATTTTAGAAGAATGCTATTGTTTCTCAGTTAACAAAATAGACGAATGAAATGAGGAACAATACTCTTGCCTGTGCTGGAGGGCTGCCCACTTTGCCAGATCACCTTGACCTCTTTTCCTCCCCTGTGGTTTGTTGGACAGTGTGTGGTGAATGTGTCGACAACTTGTCTCCAGGAATGATCCTGCCCAAGAATATTAAACTTGTTTCATTTATTTTGAAGAACTTTGGGGCTATCAAGTTGAATGTCTACAGAGCTAAATGTTTCTGGGATAGCTGGCCTGCTAGAAATCAGGATTTCCCCCCATATCAGAAGCCCTGGAAAGAACTCCAAGGGATGAAGTTGTGCCTTTGGACTCTCACGGTATCCAATCCATGTTAGGGAAGAAGATCCTTTGCTCCCAGCATCACTGGATGTAGATGAACAGCCGACTTGCCCAGCAACTATTTTCAAGGCTGGAGGCTTGTGAACGGAGGGCAGGAGGGGTAATCATAAAGGGTTAGTGACAGTATTTCTGAGTGCGGATACCAAAGAGATCTCTTTTAGCCAAAATTTTATATGCAGCTACAGAATTGAAACATGTCTCATCAGCAAGGGGTAGAGTCGTTTTACTTTCTTCTTTGCCTGATCTGTATGCTGGAAGCTTCTCTTCTCATTGAATATCTGCATATTAGCTTTCTTTCAACAGAGAAAGTTTGTATGGCCATATTCCATTTTCTTGTAATGTATTGTATCGAGTTTTTAAAGTTTAGTTTTCTGGTGCAATTAACCACCTACCTCTTTCCCACTCTGCTTACTGTAAGTATTTCTAATACTTTGTTGGAAGCTGTTGCATTAAAAATAATAAACAAAGAAATAAATGCCTTCATATTCAAGGTTTCGGGTGGCAAGATTCAACAATACTTCATGTCAGCTAACCATAGCAGAAGAGAAAGACAAGCCTATATTCCTGCTGTAAAGTTGTACCCACAAAAGTGTATCTGTCAGTGCGTGCCTCCTGTGGGTAAGTACAATTAGAGAGGAAGAAATTAAATGTATGTAATTGAATACATACATCGAGATTGTTCCTGGAACTAAGGTACCAGTATGAGTTCCCAATAGTCTATTTCAATAAGAGCCAAGTGCAACCTTAAAAGAGAGATGTAGAGAATTAGATGTGCCAACCGTTACAGTAGCCACTGGCCACATGTGGCTATTGAGCACTTGAAATATAGCTAATCTTAGTTGAGAGGAACAGTAACTTTAAAATACATACCAGATGTTGAAGGCATTACAAAAAAAAGTAAAATATCGCAATAATTTTTATAATGATTAATTATCAAAATGATAATATTTTGTATGCATTGAATTAAACAAAATATATTATTAAAATCAATTTCACATGTTTCTTTTTCTTCAAAATGTGGCTCCTAGAAAATTTAAAATTATTTGTGTGGCTCCCATTATATTTCTATTGGACAGTGCTGAGCAAGATTGATGTAAGGTAATATTGTAACTAATTGGCTTAAAAGACTTTGCTATCAGGCAACTCACTTTGTTCTTCATAACATGCCTGAAATTCATTGTAAATGGAGTCCTCTTTTAAGTGTGCCAGGGGATCTTGCTGGTTAAAGTAACCCCGTGGTGAGAACTGCCATCCTATGAGTAATCACTCCCGAATATACCTGTTTCATAGGTTTGGATTTTAATAGGGTTTTCCTAAAGTAAAGTTCACCAACTTTATCATTTGCTTTCCAATGAGGCCATTATTTTTCTCTGTGTGAAAAGTCCCTTGTCTCTCCTGAGATACATTGTTTTGTTTATCCATCTTTCACAATTATCCCTTCTTAGAAGGGAAGTGTGGTTTAGTTGGACATGCTTGGAATCTGAAAGCAGACTGCCTGGGCTCAGAACACCACTTACTAGTGACCTTTGGCACATCTACCTCTCTTAGCTGAAGTTTCCTAATCTGTGAAATGAAACAATAACCCATGGCTCACAGGAGAGTAAAGAACGTTCTGAGAGATGATCACTCTATGGGGTGCATAGACCCAATGAAGTCCCCATTCACTTCCTATTGTTTTACAAGTGTCTTGGGGCCCAACTTTCTAGGACACTGAGTCTATATTGTCAATCATTGATTTTTTTTTTCCAAGGGAAGGCCATTATTATGAGCACTAGGTACGTGCTTGAAGCACAGATATGCTCATGACACTTTTGAAAAGAGTCACACATCAGCTCTTGGCCTCTATGTCTTTGCTTTGCTCTTCCTGCCCAAATTTCCCTCCTTCCCCAACGTTTCTTTTCCTCGTTGTCTTGTGCATCTTTCAATGTCCAGATGAAGCACCACTTCTTTTATCAAGCCTTCTTTGACTACTCCAGACAGTACGGGTTTATCAGCTTTATACATTTTATTGCCAATACAAGCCTGTTTAAATCAACTAGCAAATATTTCTTTGGTGTTTCAAACTCCACTGCTTACTGTCAGGTGATTTCAAGCCTATTCATTTGGTTTCATCCACTGAACTGTAAGTGTTTTGAAGGCAGTGGCCACGCTTCATACTCATTTCACAACTCCCATACTTCTCACTCCAAGAATGCTTGCTGATTGATTGATTGATTGACTAGGGCTTGACTAATAGAAAATACTTTAATGCAAGAGTAATTATTCATGGTAGGGAGTGACCCATTGAGAAATACCATATATCATCTTTACTGATATCTAAACAATTAGTATACAAGTAAAAATTTAAGAAGGTTATCATCATGTAAAAACCTCTCTTATTTAACTGCTGAGTTCTAGGAATACTTGAGTTAGTAAAAAGATGACTTAAATAAGTTTCTGATTCTAGATCCCTTTGATATATATATAAACACACACACACATATATGTAGTTTAGATCCTTTTGAGATCTTAGTATTAAGATCTTAGTATTTAGATCACTAAGATGCACAGTTTCTATTTGTAATCTTTTCTCAATAAGGCAGTGGGACATTGGTGCTTTCAAATGAGCTTAGAGATGTTGAATATGACATTCATGTCATTAAAAATAGTTAGCTGTTCTTGGCTACATTCACAAAGAAGTCCCCTAATGCTTCCCTTAATTGGCAGGATCTACACGTGGTATCTCTTTTGAAAGTCTACTCTGCACTGAGCAGTTGGAGCTGTGTATGTGTCTGTGTACGTTCTCTGTAGGTGACACTACACCTTAATCAGACAATTGGTGCATTGTACTAGGACATACTGTATGCAGACAATGCCTCGCCTACCACTCCCTCCTCTTTTTTTTAAACCCTGAAATATGGCTGATATGGTCCATTGCAAAATGAACCTATATTGGAAATGGCAAAATTGTAATGTAAAATATACCGGGGTCAGTGGGGTGTGCTGTTTTTTGCATATATTTTTTCTCCCCTGACCCATGCCATTCCCCTGCATACAGGGAAAAAAGCTTCATCTCACACAGAAATGTGATGTCCTTTACTGCCAGAGGCTGTTGCTGTTTTAAATGAGGAAAAAGCACAATGCATGAAGAAGGAAAATTAAAGCATATTCATTTTGGAAATTAGATATGGTGTCAGGAGACTCACAGAAAATAGCCCGTTTGAATGGAACCCCACACTACAAGACAGTTCACTGAACTTTTGACCACTATTTATGCTATGGAAGCTTTTGAAACGGGGAAGAGAGCAAAACATTTTATAGCTGCTTGATAGCTGAGTTCATTTTTCTTTCTTTCTCTTTTTCCCACCAGGCATTTGTCTAGCCCTTCGGTGTATATAAGATATTCAAACACCATGTAGCTTATTGGCAGGCCTTTGTGTTAGTGTTTCAGGTTGGTTCCAAAACACACAGCTACTGGATGAGAGAGTCTCCCGGCCAACCCGGTGACCTTCCTTCCCCTCTACAGCACAGTCGGCCATCTGCCTGTGCCTAGTCTGGAATGGCCAGCCCCAGCCCAGGTCATGCAGGCCTTGGGAGTGACAGTGACCTCTTTAGAGGTCATTCGGAAAAGGCAAAGAGAATATACCTTTCACAGTTCCCAGGGATTCCTTATGCAAAATTGGACAGGGATGGAGGAGATGATGGAAAAGGCACTTTGTTGAATTTCTCCCTTTCTATTATTTGGAAGAACAGTTCTCAATTTGTGATCATCGGTGTTACGCTTCATTGCTTCCCTCCTGCAGAGCACATCACACCAGCCAGGTTAAGTGGGATTCAAGGGCCCTCCAGGAAGGACGGCCTAGATTTTGATTCAACACTGACTGAGGAAGCATCTGCATAAATGAGGTAGGGGAAGAGTTAATTGTGAGTGGAGGGTGGGGTCAATTAGAGGCGGAAAAAGAAATCCAATTCGTATTGGTGTTAATGAAAAATATGCTTTAACTTTTATACAGATATGAAGCATGGAGCTAAATATTACAAATTACAGGTTGTGAGTCTATGTCAGCTTTATTATTGTTATTACTATTAATGCAATGATAGCAAACCTAAGGGGTCACCGTGTTTGTTTAATTTATTTTCTGGGAAAGCTTAGCATTTTATTTCCAACTGAGGACCTTTTACCTGGCCTCTTGGTGACTTGCCCACACTGGCACAAATTAGGCCCCACCTTTCTCGGGATCTGTGTGCTTCTTAGTGTTCTCTCTCTCTCTGATCATTACCAGGCTTGAGTCTCACAGCGTTCCCCGTCAGTCCACTCCTCAGTCAACCATGGGTCTCACTTTCCTTAGGAGATGATACAATGCTGAGGTTTTAATGGTGACTTGAGGTGGGGTGAGGACAGGGGATGCTGCGAAAAGGCTTAACAATGAAATCAATTTGTGCCACGAGATGCTGAAATGTGTCTGAATGCTGACACTCACAGAAGTGAGTGTCCTTGGTTTGAGAAATACGGACAGTCTGTCCCCATACATGGCTATGAGCTCTTTACAGAATCACATTAGGAAAAACTTCAACATGGGAACATGTTGCTATTTTCTTCTGCCTTGTGCTCTGTGGTTTTTAACTTCAGAGAGAGAGAGAAAGAGGTAGGGAGAAAGAGACCATGTCTCTCCTCCCCCACTCCCAGCATTATTCATTAGGAGAGGATTTTTTTCCTCCTTTGGATGGGAAACTTCTCTCCTCTCACTAGCCAGTAACAACCCTTCTGTTCATCCTTATGTCAAACCTTCACAACTGCACTAATATGATCTCTGACAATTGGAAAGGAGCTGGGAGAGTGTTGTGAGGGCCACTCTGAAGTCAGGAGATAGTGCAGGGTCTTCTCAGGGCAAGAACTCCTCCTGACCATCTACTTTCTGCCAGGACTGGGAGGTAGAGATCTGCATGCTGACCTGAGGCCACAGGCTGAGAGAAACCTGAGAAGTGTGCTTTAATCAAAATCTTCTTGGCCTCAGAAACCACCCTCCTTTGTTTCCTGTTCTCCCTGAGGCTTCTTGGCACTGCCAGCAGCCATGTTGCTTTTGCTCTGAATTTGTGGGAGGAAGGTCCCAGTGAGCCCTGGGGGACTGCTTTGTGCTCCATGCCCATACTACAGACCCACCTTTAGTCTATAGCCCGAGGAATGGAACTGAGATAGGATGAGGGGAATGCTGCCCAGTGAGGTCATGCTGGTCATGTTAACTATTGGCAAAAAACAGGCACTAGAGAGGATGACATCAGGTGAGTACTTTACAGTTTAGAGCTGGAGGTTGGCAGAAGTAAGGGATCAAGCCTGGAAAATTCTCAAGCCCTGCCAGCCTGCTTAACCCTCCCCTCCCTACCTCTGAAGACTTCACAGAGGTGGACCTGTGGACTGCATTTGTCTGTCACCCTTGCTTTGGCAGCGGATTATCCCTACAGTTGTCACACCATTTGTGATGGCCCGTAGTTCCCCTGCCATTGTGGTGGCTGATGAGGACTGGGCATTTTACATGATGAAGAAAAGAGGAGACAGTAATCAAATGCAGCAAGATTAGCCATAATGATTTTTTCTCTCTTTTTAAGTCCTGTGGAAGAGAATGAGGAGACAGGCCCGGGCAGGATTTCTGCTTTGCTTAATTACAAAAGGACATATTATAGCAAATATTAATGATTCCATTAGTTTAGGAATTTCAAGTCTGACCCAAGTCTGAATATCAAGTTATGATGACCAGGCTTTAAATGCAAATCTATCTCAAGAGAAAATTCCCATCACGTGCAACATTTATAAGGTAACCTCACTGCTTACTGGACATAGGATGGTGAGGTATTTTATGGGTCACACGGAGCTTTGCTGGTAGGTCCAGAGTATTTCTGTTATTCTTCTGGTAGTCTATGAAATGTGAAAATTTTTTTATAGTTTAGCCATTCCTTTCTTTATAAAATTGAATTTTGGATAAAGGTTTCATGACATAGTAGACTAGTGAGGCAACTTGATGGAATAAAGAAGGGGACAAACTTGAGTTCAAATTCCAGCTCTGCCACCTAGCTGACTGCAAGGCCTTGGGCAGGTCACACTCTCCTGGTCCCAGTTATCTTGTAAATAAAATGGGATAATAATCTCTACCATACAGCATTGTTGTGAGGGTTGAGAGTAGTTCTTGCATAGTATCTACTCAATAAAAAATAGATTTTGTTATTATCATTGTAGTAAAAGGCCTTAGAGCTGGAAGAGGTTTTTAAGATCCATTAGCTCAAACTTCCCCCATCTTACAGAAAAAGAAACTGAGTGTAAGAGAAGCTGAGCTACTTGTTAAGCGATATGCAAAATGGTCTCAGAGCTTGGTGTGGTCCACATTCTCTTGATACCCAGACTAGTGGTCTTAGTTTGTTTGGGCTGGTATAACAAAAATACTACAGACTGGGGGGATTAAACAACAATGTGTTTTTCACAGTTCTGGAGGCTGGGAAGTCCAAGATGAAAGTGCTGGCAGATTGGTGTCTGGTGAGAAGCCCCCTTCCTTCTTCATAAGTAGCTGACTTTTTGCCCCGTTGTCACACGGCAGAAGGGGTGAGGGAGCTCTCTGGGGTCTCCTTAATAAGGGCGCTAATCTCACTGTGAAGGATTTACTCTCATGACACAATCCCTTCCCAAAGGCCCCATCTCCAAATACTGGCACACTGGGGATTGGGTTTCAACATATGACTTTTGGGAGGACACAAATATTCAGTCCATAGCATGGACTTGCTTCCTCCTTATCATTTCTCAGGTCAAGCCTTTCATCTTGTTGAAGATGAGTGCTAAATAAGAGTTTTTCTGAGGGGTTTAATTTTTTCCCCCATTGGGTTTTCCTAATAAATTCTTTCTTGAACCTTGCACATCACTTCCTTCTCTGATGTCACTGTCCTTATTGGTCTAACGCTCTGATTCTCTTGAGCTGGAATATTTTATTGTCCACTGATTCTCTGTTGTCTCAGCCTTATATTCCCCAAAAAGAGTAGAATACCTAAGCAAAGGGACCACGCAACACATTTTATCTACCTTTGTGGTTCCCAGATTTTTGCTTTCACTGGTCAGTAAAAACTTTTCTTTCCTTCTTCCTTCCTTCCTTCCTTCTTTCCCTCCCTCAATTTTCTTCTTTTTAATAAGGGATGGATACAAGTTTGTCAACATTTAGTTTGCCAAAAGCTTTAAAAAACCTCCTTTTATCTATTGACATCACTTTATGAATAAAAAAGATTTTTGAATATTATTTAAAAAATAGAAATAACATAATATTAGATGTAAGGAGAGCTTTGCTCAAGAAATATCAGCAGAAGGGCATGGGCATTGTCCATGTGGATCACTTAAAATTTTGTCACAGACCAGCAGAGGCCCATAAATGAGTAAATGGGAGCCATTAGTTTAAGGGACAGGAGTTGGTTTGCTATGTAAATTGGACAACCTTAACCCATCAGGAGCCTAGAATGGGGACAGCAATGTTGAACTGATTTTACAGGGCTGCTGTGAGGTTCAAATAAAACGACATGGAAAAATGCTTCAAATATTCTATGGTTCTGTGCAAATATAATGGATTATAATTATCGTATCAGTAAGTACTTATAGAACACCTAATTTTATATATATTATTTATAATATTGCATATTATTATTATCTATCTAATTATGCCAGTGTACAAGAACTCTGAAGGACAATCGTATTTCAGTAATGGGAAAAACAACGGAAGTAACAATAATCCTGAGTTCCAGTCATAGTCTAGTGAGCACAAAGCACTTCGAGAGTACAGAGGAAGAAATTAACATGGCCCTTTCCTGGCAGAGTTCACATGAATACTATCACGATTCCACTATCTGCACTGACTCCAGTCCCAAATTACTTAGCCCTAATGCTGGACATATGTTCACAAGGAACTTTTGATTGACTGATTGTCTAACATATGTGAGGTAGCTCCCCAGAATGGGATCTTGCTGGCAAGACAGGATGCTAGAAACTGAGTAATATGGGGCTGTGTAGAATGATTAAAATGAAAAAAATGAATAAAGCTTATTCACTGTTATATATGCCTGATTCCTGAGCAAACAGGGAGCCATGTTCTTCTCTTGCCTACAGATGGCTGAGTGTGCAATAATCATGGGAGCACTCACATGTTTCAGGCCACTGCAGCTGGGTAAACATCATGTAGAGCCATTATTGCAGGTGAGAAAACTAAGGTTCATAGGAGCTAAGAAACTTGCCCAATAATGCATGGCAAGTATCTGGTGGGGCCAGAGTTTTGGAAAAACTGTCTCTGACTCCCAAACTCATGTTCTTTCCAACAAACATACAATCATATGTGTATGAGAGGTATACGTCTTAATGACTGGAATGAGTAAGGGTAATATGGAAATAATGAACTTCTGCATTTTCTCTCCTCCTCCAAAGGACTTACCTTTCATTTTTCCCTTGACTAGTTCTCTAACTCTAGTCACAGTTGAATTGCTTTTTCCAAGGTCCAGAGACAGATATTAATTTGTGGGGCAATTAGTTCAGGTGTGTGGGGCCCAACTAACCTATGGTTTCTCAGATTTCAGACAAGTCAGTTACCCAATTATTTCTGAGAGTAATTACTGTGTTTCCACTCTAGTCCATTTCTACTCTTTGGCCCATTGTTTACCTCAGAGAGGAGCAAAGAATGAATTCAAGTTACAGTGTGACATTACAATGAGATTGCCAATAGAAATCAATGACTTGTCCCATGACAAGCCAGGGTTTATGAGGCAGCCTAATCGTGTCCTTATATCTTTGCCTACCTCATTGTACTGCCATTCAAGCGGATTATACAATTTTCCTGTTATAAAGAGGGTGTAGTCAGGGCAAAAGGGGGTCTAATTGAGTTGAATAAAGCTGGAAGTGGTTGTGCAGAAGTCTTATAGAGAAAAGAATATTACAAATAGGATATTCCAATAAAAGTAGGCTGGGTTATTTGTTAAGGTTGATATTTATGTTCACTTTTATTGACCTTAGAAAGGGTATATAGACAGAGCAGATAGAGGTCAAAGAACTCACTTTTTCAGCAGCAGGCGCCTAGATCTCAGTGGAATTAAAAAGAGTATACTTAATGTAGTGAAATGTCATTTCATCCATTTTGTACTTAGAACTTATGCTTATTTGGGTTAAGTGGCTAAAAAACATACCATTCTCCAAACAAAGCAGCAAAGCCACAATGGAGACCATGGAGTCACAGAAGAGATACATAATTCTGATGCTGTACTATCTGATGTGGTAGCCTCCAGCTACATGTGGCTGTTGATCTCTTGAAATCTGTAGTTTGAAATGAGATGTGCTTTAATTATAAAATGCATAGCAACTTTCGAAGATGTAGTATAAAGAAAATAATGCAAAATATTTCATTAATAGTTTTTGTATTGCTTGCATGTTGCCATGATAATATTTTGGATGTATTGGTTTAAATAGAATATTAAATTAATTTCACCTGTTCATACTTTTTAAAATCTAGCTACTATGTAAAATTACATGTATGGCTTGCATTATATTTTGAGTGGACAGCAGTGGTCTAATACAATGCCTAAATGATATCATCTGAGAGTCAAATTTCAATAATTTGGCCTTATTTAAATCAGAGTGTCAGAATGCATTCTGCTCGTGTGGGATATGAATTTGCGCCCACCAGTGTGATGTGCATCTACTACACACACATCCATATTCATGTGTGTGTGAAGAACCCTATCACCTTTGGATGAGAGAAATCATCCCAATATGTCCTAAGTTGTTGTTTTCACACATCGAAATGATGTTTCCCTGCGTCTCTTTGTTTCAGTAAAACCCCCACCCCTAAAGAGCACGATTTGGAACAAGCTACTGGAACAATTTATTCTTTCCTCTCCACGGATTAGAGAGGTGGTACTTGGATCAGCTTGTTAAAGAGAAGAGCTTGGCCCTTGCCCTTGCTCTGTGTTTAACGATCCTCTCCTCATGTGCCACCTCTCTAATCTGCAGAGAGATAGGTACAAATTGTATCTATAATGTTATATTACTTAACAGTCTAATGTATGATAAATCATAGAATTGCATCCCTACCTTGTAATTGGTGAGATGTGTTGCATGAGAGATCTCCTAATTCAATAGAGAGTGGTTGCTTTTATGCATAACTGCCTCTCTGGATCAAACCAATTCAGCCCACAAGTGATGAGGGGAGAGTTAAAGCTTTTTTAATTAAAAAAAGCAAAAATATGACTTAGAATGGGTTTATAGGCCCCTGGATTCAAACGATTGCTTAATAATCCTCTACTTGAACGGAGCTTCTTTTTTCCCTTTTTCCGTAGGCAGCGGGAATGGACCATCTACAGGAAATGGGTACCTGAGAGAACAGACATTAGGTGAATTTATGTTCTCGTATTCAGTAATCACCACTTTTCATATGTTACTCTTAGCCAGGTGTATTTGTTATTTTTGAAAATGATTGTCTTCCTACTCTCACCCCCACACATGTTTTATTCTCAACACTTTTTGTTTTTGTTTTAAATCCATTCCTTTTACCTATACAACTCACTCGCTGATTCTTCAGAGTTCTTTCATTATATTTTGTTTTGTCTTCTTATTTCCTTAAACTGCTGGGCTGATTTTATTTTTTAGAACTGCCTATTTTGGTGCCTCTTTCCCTAACTCCTAACCTTCTTAACCTCCTGGTATTACTGGCAAAACTACCAGCATCAGGGCATTTATCACGGGAAGATGGAGTGAAGGGGGCTGCATCGCCATTCCTCACAATGCATGAGCTTTTAGTAGCAAGCCACATTCATACAGAAATGAGTACGGACAGTGACATCGAGATCACGCTTGTGAATTGTCACACCTGTGTTCTTGGCCATCCAAAAACCTCCACCCAACACTGCAGGTAATTTGATCATTGACTGTTCAGACATTAGTTACGAAGACAACTGAAATAAAATTTGACAGACAAGTTTAATTAAGTCTGTTACAACTGTTATGACTTATACAAATTAGACCGTTCCAGCTGGATGGGGCCATAAACATGGCTAATCTTTCAGGAAAAGCTGAGGAAACTTTGATGAAATCACTAGTACTAGGCTCATTGATGCCCTGAGGGAGATCTGCAACTTGAGTTGCCTGGCCCTTAGTCAGCTCTCTTTCCATCCCCTCACAGAGTCCAACTCCAGAAGCTTCTCTTTACTAGCTGAATTCTATGATACATTCTTTAAAAATATGCCATAAAATTTGTCACATACTTGCCATTTACAATTTTCTATTCATCATTAAGCAAACGGGTGAGATTCAATGACCTGATTTTTCGTTTCTAGAATTTCCATATGTATTTTCTCAAGAAAGATAAAACAGATTGTGTGGTCTTATCTTAATTCGATCACTTCTCAAATCTGACTTTCTGAAAAGAGTAGAAGGGCAGCTTTTGACAAGAGTCGTTGATTCTGTTCAAACAGACATACAAACATCACCAAGACTGCAGGCTACCACAGCCTACTTGGAAAAGGGGTGAATTTGGAGGTGGGGTTGCCTTACGGTTTTCGATTACGTCTATATTGCTTTTCCTGCACTCTACTGTTTCACATCTTAATAAAGAGAAACAAATCATTTGGTAAATAATCTATAATACAATTTCCAGAGATTACCCTGCCATTTCTCAACTGCCAGATATATTTTATTTTTACTCTGCATGTAACCAAGGAAAACAAGGTTGAAAATGATGCCAGTTTATGCTTTTTCAGCTATGAGATGTCAATAGCCCTTGATTTTGTTGTTATTGTCACTAATTTCTGCAAGTTCAAAAAAAAATGTCATAAAAACAAATTGCTTTTAAATAGCCTATCGTTATTCACACAGTATTCTTCTGAGATGTAAGAATATAGTTGCCACGATCTTTGAAATCACTTTTAATCACTAATATTCAGGCCCTTAGAAAAGGCTTCTTTGACTCTATTTTTCATTTTCCCCTCATTTTTTTTTTCTTTCCTTGTGTTTTCATTGCTGACATTTTTACTATAAAGTCGCATTTTCATCTAGGACAATGGCATCTTGTTTTTAAAGCAAACCAACATGAGACAATTTGTTTTGAAAATATGTGGGTTGATGACAAAGTTGTAAGAATTTCAGAGAAATGTCAGCACTGGTGTCAGGCAAGCCAGTTCTCATGTGTTTCTTATATGAAAATGGAATTTGGTGCCTTATGTACTGACAACTCCAGAAAGAGAAGAAGTTGCTTTGTTTTTGCTGGGCATTGTCTTCCTCTTTCTCAGTAAGCCTACGATGGTTTCCAAAGATCAATTCTACTGGGAAGTGACTGTGTCTCTTAACCTTTTCCCCAGAAACTGAAACACTACACACGTGAGTCCCACACCAGGGGAAGTCTAAGAACAACAGCAAGGAAGCAAAGGGTTATATTATAATGCACCTAGAAGAGAGCATTTTCACTAATCAGTACCCATATCATACATTTGTAAAAATGACTGCCTGACAGGTGAAAAATCTTTTTTTTTTTGACAGCGTACATTTAGTCTTAAATCAATCCAACACAATAGTTCCTTTTTTTGCTTTACACAAACTCTCTTTCACCTTTTGATAAACTGTACCCCTGTGAGCCGTAGAATGTTTCAGATTCCTACCCTTTTCTGTGTTGCAGCAATATTTTGAGGGCAATGTAAAGCAGGTTCATTTGGCAGAATGTTTTTATATGCATATCAGTGCAAAGGTAGGATTTAATGATTTTGAGGATTAAAGGCTCTGTCCGAAACTTTGTAATGCGCTATGAAGTCCTTGCAGTGTAAGTTAGACTCCTGATCTGCTGAGGCCTCTCTGAGGTATTCTATTTTAACCTGGTGTAGAGAGCACAATAGCAATAAATCTTGAGGCAGATTAAGTAATTTCCCCATAGTGGTGTGTCTATTGGAGTTTCAAATAACCCAGCATAGGGATTCAAAGTCTTGATACATTTGGATATTCCAGACTGTATTCCCTCTGTGTAAAAAGTTTCTGGCAGGGCAGCATCCTGCACTTTGACCCCCTCGTAAGAGTTTAAATGGATGCCCTACTGAGCTGAGTGAATGCTAATTATTTTGCCTCTCCTGAATCCTTAAAAATTAAATAAAAGAAAGAAAGTAAAGAAAAGATGGCCCATTTGCATGCTTAAAATATGCCAAAGATTGTATGAAATGGAAGCTTGAGACACTCTGACACTCTCAGGTCTCAGGCTGCCATTGGGGATCTGATTTACTTTTCTATTTTACTTGGAGATGTTCTTGTTTGGCCTAGGCAATCTTGTCTAGAAAAATCTCTGAGGCTTACCTGAGCCAGCTTTCATGAGCATCCATACCCCAGGGCAGCCAGAAAAAGTATGTGCAAGGCTCAGAGCTGGGACTTGTAACGGCAGCACCTCTCCATGGTTGCCATCTTGAATTCTCGCTTTCATACAGAAGGAAGTTTAGATTGTGTCTTCTCAGTGCCAACACCTTTGTGAGGTAAAGGTCAGATCTACATAATGAAACAAAAGCGGGCCAGGTCAGGGAGAAGAGGAGTTGCTTAAGCCAAGAGACCAACAAATTTTTGGAGATTTGATTGAAAACCCAAGTGAGTCCCTGGGACTAACCATCTAATTAGTATGGAAAATCTAAATTTGCCCTTGCTTTTTTCTCCTTTCTGCAAATAACAAGTCTTCTCATTAAACACATTTTAAAAAGGGTTGGGCAGAACACTATACGGATCACTCATTTTTCTACTCCTTTGAAGAAAGGAGTTGTGGGCAATATTGTCATTGCAGGGAGAGAGCACTTGGCAATATCGTCCTGACAGCACATTAAGAAAAATAAACAAGTGTAGCACAGCCTGGGAGACCACACCTCAAGGAGCTCCAACTGCTCTGTGTCTCCCAGATCAAACCTCGGGGTCTTTGTAGTGGTCAGTCCATTGGAAGGAAACAGGGTATGTTGTGTGTGTGTATTGCAGGGGTTAGTGGGTGGGGAGGCTAGGCATCTCAAGCAGAGAGAAAATATGCCTGTATGTGTGCGGGCGATTATATGCTCATGTGTGGTTGTGCATGTGTGTGAGAGTGTGTGTGTGTGCACATGCATTTGTGTGGGGAACATGTGTACGTGTAGATAAGTATGCATGTGTGATGGGTGTACAGGTAGTGTGTGTGTGTGTTTAAAAAAGTATTTGTCGCTATCCATACTGTAATAAAATAACAAATTTTTTCTTCCCTCTGCCTCTTCTATAGTCTGACTACTTGCTCTTAGTATTGTAGTTTGTCACCATAAGGAACAAGACAAAGAGCTTATTGTTTCTTAATGATGATAAGATGAAAATACAATTATTCCCTTCCTGGTTTTTGATGGAGGCATCATGAGGCAGAGCACACTTTGGCCTAGGAATCTATTCTTGCATATTAAGTTGGGGAAATGCAAGCATTTATTGAGTGGGTCTGAGTCAACATGATGTTTAAATAATGTGTCCAACTCCCCTTATTTCCTATGACTTCCTCCTTCTTCTGCCAGCTTCGCAAGCTCACCATCCCAGTGATTCTTGCCCCATTAAAGCTCTTTCTTCCTGCTACCATTTTCCTCTTGGAGTTTTCCAACATGGTCCACATTTCTTTTTTCTTCCTTACATGTATCTCTAATTTACAGATAATGTACTAAAAATTCAATATCCCAGAACTCCAGACCTCAGGCTTGGAGTCATAGAAACTTAAAGCCAGACAGGACCTGAGCATGTTCTAGTTCAGTTTCCTTATTTACCTGAATTAGATGAACATGTTTACAGCAGATTCCCAGGGGGCATCTGGCTGTGGGTCTGAGTACACAAGCAATGTTATAGGGTTGACATAGACATTTCACTAGGAGTGGCTATCTATGTCGTGGGAGTGACTGGAAACAGGGCAGAGGGCATTTCCTTTAGGAGGTTAAATGTAGTCACTTACGTTTGTGAAAGTGCTTTGTGAGCTGTAACATGGTAAATGCATGGAATGTAAGATGATTCTCTCCTTTTTCTCTTTTATAACTAATAATTTACTAGGTGAACGTCGTATCATAACTTTTGAGAATATAAAACCTACTGAAAAGTCTGAGCGAATATTACAAAGAAACCCTCTATTGTGTCTCAAAACTCTTTAGTATTTAGTTTTTAGAAAGCTGCTTTGAGCATTCTGCCTTTTAGGTGAGAAAGATTCATTTATATAGTTGTAGAGAAAGAGCACTGACAGGGACTCTGCAGGCTCAGATTCCATTCTTACTTGAGATTTTGTGATATTTATTCCCTTGATGACCTAAACGATCATTAACTATTTAACCTATCCAAATGGAACTCATCATTTTCTTTCATCCAAAAGTGATTCCTACCTATTGTCTTTTACAATGAATGGAAGCACCAAGTGTTCCTTGTCCCAAACAGCAGTGTGAGAGGCCTGCTTCCTGCTTATTTCTTCCTTACCTCCTCCCACTCCATCACCAGCATCTGTCTGATTTACTCCCAAATATGTCTTCAGCTATCGCCACTGCTATTGTCCACATCATCATCTCTCACCTTGTTTTAGTTCTAACTGGTCTTGCTTTCTTCAGCCTTGCTTCTTTCTCCTTCAAGTGCTAGCCAGATTGATCTTATAAATTATAAATTCAATTAGCTCACTCCCCTGTTTAATGCCCTTAATGACTTCAGAATGCCCTGTGGAGGAAGTTCAAAGTTGTTACCTTGATCCACAGGCCCACCACGACATGGCCTCTGCTGGTTTCTCCAATCTCGTCTCACTTCACAGCTCACACTCCAGTTCTTGTCACTTTATTTTGTGTCTTCAATTCACCATTTTACCTCTCACCACCAAGCTTTCACACATGCCATGTCCTTGGCCTAATACCTAATACTAAGCTCTCCTTTCCAACTCGGTTATCTTCATGTGCTTAAATCCGCTTTATCTTTCA